TATGTAAGCTGCAGCGTGTGTGTGTCAGCAGGTAAAAAAGGCTAAACATTGTGCTCTAGATCAACAGTCCCCACAAACTTCAGCATCAGTCTTCAAATTGGGGAAGATTTTTAGACATGCTATTCCAGTTTCTGCGCCACCGATTAAATAGGTGATACAGTGGATCTTGGGTTCTCATCCATCCATCCATTTTCTAACACTCGTGTCCCTAGTGGGGTCAGGAGGTGCTGGTGCCTGTCTCCAGCTAACGTTCTGCAGAGTTAAATCAACTCTGCAGAATTTGGTCCTTATCAGAACTGGTGTTAATTTAACTCTTTCAGAGTTATTTCAACAGGAAACTGAGTAATTTTAACACTTGAAATAGTTATAACTACTCAAACTATTGTTGAAATAACTCTGTAAGAGTTAAATTAATGCCGATTCTGAAAAGGCCAAATATACTCTGCATAGTGTTGATTTAACACTGCAGAATTTGTTGAGCATCATAGATCACCATGTTTAGTAAAACTAGTTTGAAATCATTTTGCACCCCTCAAAATAGAAACGTAGGGCTTTCTTCTCTTCTCTTTTTTAACATCATCTGCAAACTCGGATTCCAATGTGTCATCTCAGATAAGATATTTTAGTAAATGTGTTGTTTACTTCTGCTGCCAGAAGAAGCAGAACTGAAAATTATTTCTGCACCAATCTTGCAGAGCCTAGCATTACTAAAATGTATCTTTCCACAGATAGGTGTGTGGGTTAAATCTGAGGGAAGTGCAGTGAAGCAATAACGTGAAAACCTGTAGTATGTATTTTTCCATGTGATTGAAAATAATGTGCCTTTTTTACTGTTTTTCATTTTTACCAATTTGACCTGTATTATTTGTGTCGTTGACTCGACATTCAACAAAATATGTGGTAGAAGAGATAATTCTGCTCGCTGTTTAATTTGAACCATCTGCTGCTTGTGTGTCCAATTTCCAAATTTACATTTTTGTCCGCCTTACGTAATAGCCACTGACAGCCAGCACTGGAACAGCGCTGCGCTGGCCGCTGCAGCAGAGTGCCTGCACAGTTCAGTCTGCAGCTCATCCTGTTGATCACAGCTGGTGAACGAGACGCGTCCTACTCTGACCTGGGCGTGTTAGAGATGTCGCATGATTAAACTTTAGACCTGGCTAGCTTTAAAAAAGAAAATAATACCAGAGGGAGTGTTGCAAAGTTGCTACCGCTGCGACTGGCTGCAGGAACGCTGTTGCTTACTTTTGAGCTTTTTCTTGCCCCATTTTCCTTTTCCCTTTTTTTTTTTTTGCGTTCTCTGCTAGTCTGCTGTCCCTTGCACGGTAATTTTTTTTGCACATTTGGGCTTATTCTTATAAATCCACTGCAAGATTGAGTGTATGGGGATTAGCAGGTAGCATTTGCCCGAACAGCTTCGCAATAGCGATTACTTAAAATGAAAATGAGGGCAGAGCGGTTCTAATTCAGCTTGTGGTCTATGAGTGTGTATGGAGCTAAATTGAGGCCATAAAGTTTGTTCATTAAAAAAAAATAAAATCAAAATTTAAAAATAATTGTTAAACTAAAAAAGGAAAACTGAAAGTTAAATACTCCTTATTAGTTTTTAACTATAAGGACTCTTTCTTTCTGCTCTGGGAAGCTGAAGCAGTCAGATTGATTGGTATTCTGCTTTATTTTGAGACCTTGAGAAATGTCCACCACTGCTCAAATTTGACAGTATCATATTTGTGCCACAGAGATTTATGTTGTGTGTTTACATAAGCAGCTTATATCAGTGAAGCATGTTATTTTTTAAATGTACTCACATTAACAGCATATAAGACTGACATGACACTGTCATAAACATGAAATAACACCCGTCATGAACATGAAGGAGTCTTTATGAATGTTGTCATGAAGTGTCATTCGGTAAATAATGACACTTTTAATGCAAAGTTACTTTAAAAGTTGCCTTGAAAGTCCATTAAAAGTGCCAACTTTGTATTAAAGTGTCATTGTTTACAAAATAATGCAAAGTTGGGACTTTTAGCGGACTTTCAAGGCAACTTTTAAATCAACTTTGCCTTAAAAATGTCATTATTTACCAAATGACACTTCATGACAACTGTCATAGACATTCATGAAAACTCCCTCATGTTTATGACAGTGTCATGTCAGTCTTATGCACACCCCTTCAAATAAAGTGTTAGCAAATGATGTTTTAAAGATGTTTTCAGTTGCCACACTTCCTGAATGCAACAGCTGGGAATATTTTGCAGTCACTGTGTTGAGCTGGACTGACGACCTGACCAGGGTACGCCGCATCTCGCCCGTTGACCTTCCCTGGCGACCCCTCTAGGGATAAGCATGTTGTATAATGGATGGTTGCAGTGATGAGCTGTCCGTCATAATTTAACACCCACATGGAGCCTTCTGAGGTCTCACCCCCACATTGAACAGGGCGAGATGTTTGGAAAACAAATAAATAAATAAATCTGAAGGTGGAAAAAAACTAATCTGAAAAGAAATTCTAAGCGTTTTTGTTGTTGTTATTTGTTTCATTATTTTTTGTTTAAAATGTATTTTTCATTTTGAAATCATTATTTTTCAGTTTCCAAGTTTGCTGGATTTTTTTTAGTGTCCATTTTAAAACTTTATGACCTCAATTTAGCTCCATACTCCTGTGCGTGGGCTTGCTCATTTCCTGTGGTACGCCTGTCCTATGTGAGGTATGTGATTTTTCCTGCTTTTTCCTGTACTCTGTTGTAAACTAAAACTTCCAAAAATGGTATATAACGGACAATAAATGTTCCTGTGCAGATGGAACCACAACTGTCGTCTTCTTAAGTAAAACCAGTAGCAGTCTTTTGTTTTTATTGAAAGCATTCTTTCTCCATCAGCACAGCTGACCTCATCCTCCTACATGTTTGGTTTCACCTCTTCAAAGCAAAGCAGGACTCTTATAAGGTAAAACTAAAAAAAGAAACATTTTTAGTTTATAAGCAGCATAAATTTGGCTTCAAATTGCAGCTACTAAGACAGCAATGTGAACTATTGTAATCACAGGATACTACTGTTCATTACTTTTTTCCCTTGTGGTAAGAGTAATAAGAATTTACAACACTGATGAAACATTTTCTTGCATTGTAAAGTTTATGTATGCATTCTGTTGGAGTCCATTGAAAAGTTCATGCATATGTTACTGCAGTCTCACTTCCATGGGTTGAGTCTGGGAAATACTTGAAAATAAGCCAACTGCACCCTGAGCTTTTTATTGTCATGGCTTAGCTTTAAAACCAGGGTCTGTTATCGTGTTTCTGCAATCGAAAATACTGCAGACTGAAGGCTGAGATAAATCCAGGCCACCCTTTCATTTTGACATTATTTATACCAAGTATTAGTGGAGTTTTTATATATGTGTTAATTGAGTGATATGTAAGGCAGCGATCAAAAGAATTGTCTCGGGATTTCTTCACTCATTTTTATGAGTGTGTGTTTATACAAAACCTCATAAATCAATTCCAAATAAACATAATTAACTCCTTATTCACCAAGCTCCATTTGAGAAAATTCTGAGAAACCTAGGGAATTCATTTTGCTTACTTAAAACTAAACCTGAAAACAAATTTTATGCAGATAAACTATGTAAATCGGTCCTTAGGGGTGCTCTTGTGCTTCTGTGCAAACTTTGCACAGAAGCAAATTTACTATTTTACAAAATTTGTAAATGTATTAATTTACAAATTTACTATTTTACACAGAAGCAAAATATTCTTTTTATTTTTGGTTACAACTGTACTGCTTGGTCAATGTCCACATCACAGCACTGTGTGGATGTCAAAACAAACTATGCGCACCCATAAAGCTTATCAAGAAATAGACAGTTGGTGTCCTAAAATTGCTTTTACTTAATTAGTTGATTAAGTAAAATGTTTGGGTCTGTTTGTGCAGACCCAAACAGACAAGGATGAAAACCAAACTTGTCATTGAAGTATAACTTTTAATGAGGATACAGCAGCGATGGACAGCAGCTGTCAGTCATAATGACTGGCAGCCCTAGATGTAATCGTGGATTTGCAGCAAACACTTTTTACAAGGTAAGAAGATTAACGTTCATGTACTTAATAAGGAAGCATGATTGAAAAGATATCAAATATTGCCTTATGAAAAAGGTACGAGTATAGTAGCCATGTAGAAAATGCCCCACCATTATATTGTCTAACATGTGTGGAAAAACACTGGTTAGCATCTAATGTTGTGTTTGTTTTTAAGTTTATGACCTAGAGATATAAATCATTCGCCGTGAATTCAGGCAAACACAGCAATTTGATCAACACATCAGGAGGGAGGCTGGGCGGGTCGGTTACTAAGCTAGCTGTTTTATTCGATTGTAAATGCTGTCGTCTTCTACGAGCCTCAGCTCGGTGTGTTATGCCCTCAGACTTTAACTTGACTTGAACAAGAAGTAACAATACTGGCAAAAAGAAGTAAGAAAACAGCTTCAGTCGCTCTGTTCAATACTCCCATCCCTCATTCCCAAAGTCCATCGTGACGGTGATTAAGTGACATAATTGCAAAGGGTCATAAACTCATCTCACTTAGACACTCACCCCCATGGAGATGCCATAGCAAGCCCTGATCAGTAGTGTTTCTTAGCTTTGCACATGTGTGATTCATTTGCAAAGTGGACATGGAATCGGCTGCTGTCCTCTCTGCTCTGGTTGTTTGCTGGCAGATGATTTTGCGAGACTAACTGCAGCATGTAGGAAGCTGCAGTGGCTCACGGCAGCACTATCTTCTCACTCATTTACAGCAGAGCAACTGGTGCCTTCACATGTCGCCACAAAGTCTACAAAAATACACTAAAAATGCACTAGATTTCTCGCTAATCACTGTTTAAGTCACTAAATATAGTAACAAAGTTGTTAATTTTGCAACACCTCCTCTTAACTTCACCCACTCATACCCTCACTGAACTGTGCTATTTAAGTTATTGTGACATCTGTTCTGTGTGGTAAGATGTCCTGGAAATGGTCTGAAAGTGTAACCAAAACTCCTGCAAAAGCACAACCCCACCCATGACAAACTTTACATAATTCCACAAAAGTGGGCCCTGCCAAGAGACACTAATAGTAATGGAAATAAATAATTCCTGTTGTCTCTGTTTGCAAAAACAATTATATAATGTTTATATTTTGTAGGAGAAATCATTTCATAAGCACAATATAATTGCAGCATCAAATTTTAAATGGTTCTCAGTCATTTTGTGATATTCTGAATGTGATTTAATATTTTACTCATGGTAACAAATGCTGTTACTTTTCAGACTTTTCAGTGAATCAAATAGAATATTTCTAATTGTTGTCTTTACATAGGTTTCAACATTGAAGAGCAATTAGACCAACCAACACGCCAAAGGAATGGAAAAAGATAGAAAGATGATCATTTTCTTTTTATTTTTGGCTGGTAAATTGTTTACCATATTGTCATTTCAAGTTTCTTGATATCCATCATTCATTAAATTCTTAACCTCCACTATTATATCCATTTAAGGTATTTGCAGCCCTGTGCTTGCCGACGAGTGGACGGCCGATGTTGTAAAGTCCATTGACGCTCTGGTGGGCTCCTGTGTTGTGCTGCCCTGTACAGTCAGTCATCCTGGGACTTACCTGTCCACCTCCAGACTCAGGGGCATCTGGCATCGTAAGGACAAATGGACCGAGTACTTCTACCATGAGGACAGCACAAAGATCCTGGACAGCTTTAAGGACCGAACCAAGTTGCTGGGAAACCTGGGTCAGAACAACTGCACCTTAGAAATAGTTCAAGTTAAAGATCATGACAACGGCCCTTTCTGCTTCCGCGTTGAACTTGTACGAAAAGACAACAACGAACCCACTAAGGAAAAGTTCTCCTTTGTTGAGAAATGTGCTGATATCAAAATGATCCGTATGTAAATACTCCACATGCTGTATATCAATGCTGCTTGTTTGTTTCACCCATTTTTACATTAACTGCTACCTGAATTTGTTGTTCACAGATGACGTACCTAAACCCAAACTGGGTCCAATAAAGACGGCCAATCCAGGCAAACCCTACACCCTCACCTGCTCTGTTCACCACACCTGCCCCTCGCATCGCCCTCAGATTAAATGGAGTCGGGAAAATAAGGATGATGAAATCACTGAAGTTCATAAACCCATTCATTCGGGGATCTGGGAGGCAGAATCCATCCTGTCCTTCGTTCCTGAGGAAAAGGATGACGAATCAGAGCTCATCTGCACAGCAACATTTAATGGAGGAATGAAATCAGAGGAAAAGTTCACACTTAATGTAAAACGTGAGACAAACTTTGGTTTGCTTTTTTGTTTATTTTGAAAATTCAGCCATCTTAAATCGTGCCCACTTGTTGCTGTTTGCCATAAAAAATGAATGGCTTACATTTGGTTTGCAGGCATAGAAAACTACAACCACATCATCATTCCTGCTGTTGCAGTCGCTGCCACTGCTGTGATCTTTGGACTCTTCTGTGTTTTGATGGTGAAGAAATACAAGTGAGTAACAAAGTACCAAACACATTTTCATTAACAGTGAACATGAAAGAAACCTGGTATTTGGTTGCAGATGTCTAATATTCTAACAAATAAAACACATTCAAGAGCTTCAAAGTCAAGACAGCATGTATAAAAAAGACAACTTGCTCACAGTCACAGCTAAATTCACCTACATTATTATAATACACTTTTCTAACATTAGCATGTGGAGCAGGATGTCTGGACTGTCTCGCAAGTGAGAAAATAGTCACTGTGCAATCAATATTCTTATCTCAATGACATTGGAGTTGTAATTCACTAAGTAACATTTTTTAATTTCTTTACTTCTCTAAGCACAGAACTGAATTTCAGGGAATAATTCTTTATTTTCGCTGTGGATTTCAAATAGACTTGTGAGTTGTTATTTTGGCAGTAAAAGAGAAATTCTTTTTTTGACCTTAGGCAACATTTCTCCAAAACAATTTGCATAGTTTCTGTTCTTCTTTAACTTTCCCAGAAGGTCTATTTGGAACCAAGTTTTGGAACTGTTTGTGGCTTTGCAATAACATTATTTATAAGCCAAAACACTTTTTTTATACATTCCACATAAACTCATTTAATTTGTCTTCACAGGAGATGCTACAGAAATGAGTCTGGGGTGAATATTTGACATTTAAGAAACTTTTAAAGGTAAAAGTTTGTTGGTGTGTGTTTTTTCTTTTAATTTTAAAATCTATTATATGAATCATCAGGCCCTGTGATGCAAACTCCTATGGTGGACAGAAAGATAACAAACCTCTCTTCCTATCACCAAAGAGGTACCTCCTTCAGACTGAATTAGATTTATAAAATAATTTTCTGTGAAATGTTTCTAATTGTTACTTCTGCTGTTGTGGTGGGACCATAAAGCCAACCAAATCCCTGCAAATAAATACAGGTACTATACTTTTTTCAGTAATTATTCAATGCAGTTACATTTATTCTACTTTTTTAACCAACAAATATCCTGATGATCCTTATTTTTCACAGGATCTTGATGACAATGATGACGACACTGCAGACCTGAACATGCATAGAAACATCTAAATAGTTAAGATGTTTCCCAGTGTAAGACTTGCTGATCACTGTAAATGTTCAACACCTTTTGTTTTAACTCTTTGGTGACTTAAGGAACTTGGTAACACTTTATTTGAAGGGGGTTGAATAAGATCGTCATGACACCGTCATAAACATGACATAATACCTGTCATGAACATGAATAAGCCTTCATGAATATGTATGACTGCTGTCATAAAGTGTCATTCTGTAAATTATGACACTTTTAATACAAAGTTGACATTATTCAAAATGTCTTTGTTATGACAACTTGACATTAACCAAGAAATCATTACTGTTTAAACTTTACCTTTAATAACATAAAGTTACCTAATTTTTAAAGTGCAATCAGTAATACTTTTATAACAAATTTATATCAGTAATGATTTATTGGTTAATGTCAAGTTGTCATAATGAAGACATTTTGAATAATGTCAACTTTGTATTAAAAGTGTCATAATTTACCAAATGAAACTTTATGACAACAGTCATAAATATTCATGAAGGCTTATTCATGTTCATGACATGTGATATGTCATGTTTATGAAAGTGTCATGACAGTCTTATTCACCCCCCTTCAAATAAAGTGTTACCAGGAACTTTACGCACATATATACAGATGAAAGTTTTAAAGTTTTTACAGCTATGCTAGTATGGGCTACATTTATCTCTAACTGTTGGGCCTTTCCTGTACCAATAAACATGAAAAGCTCTGTGTGCTGCACAGTGATTATTTGTGAAAATCATACATATCCATCCATCCATCCATCCATCCATCCATCCATCCATCCATCCATCCATCCACCCATCCACCCATCCATCCATCTGTGAACTCTTCACTTTGTTTCATCTATTCCTCCCAAATTAAAATCAGAAAGACTGAATATTAATCAGAAAATCACTGATGGTTTTTCTGCATCAGTTTTAGTTACAAGCAGTGACACAGCACAGCTGAGACATCAAGTCCCCAATCCGAAATCTACACACAGCTGCAAAGCTTCTTGTGTTGTTAGGTTTCTCTGAAGACATTTTAGTAAAACCTGCTGAAGACATTCTTCTTTCAAACAAGTTTTACCTTAACAGGTTTTTAAGTACCATTGATTTATATCAATTAACTGTTTTGGTCTTTTTTAATAACGTTTTAGCTGAATGTTTTAATTTCTATTTTGTATCTTTATGGAGCACGTTATGATTTTTAATCTGTGAAAGATGCCTCACAAATAAAAATAGCTTTCTTATTTACAAAATACCAACACACTTTTTGGTGTGCTCATGCTCATGTCAAATGGTTTTCCGTCTGAAAACCATTTGATTATTACTCCTCAACTTCACCTTTATGAGCTAATTTTTGTAAATCTATGACAGAGTCCCTCAACACAGTAAAGTGGATGGTTGTTGTGTCACAGAATAACGGTAACGGTTCTAATGGTAAGAACACAAGTGCAAGGAGATTATATGCTTTATTTTTATTTTTTTTTCTTCAAAGTAAACTGTGACTCTCAGATGATCTTGGGATCGACCGACTCAGATTTGAAAAGGGTTGGCAGAAGAAATGATTGTTTTTCTTCATTTTTATTTTATGTCTTCAGGGCTACCATGCTGTAATGGTAGCCAGGAATACTAATTCACCAGTGAGTGGACATTAAATGGGCTCCATAAATAAATTTATCCAAAGGTCTACAGCAGAGGCTGTCTCTTTGAAAAAGTTAGCAATGTCATATTTTTCAAGTGGAGAAATAAGTGTGAAACTGACAAATCCAGCTAAAGAGAAATGTCTGTCAATAAGGGTGTCTGTCTGCTTAATTTGAAGACTTAAAAAGATTAAAATCAAGACGTGTAAATCCTTATGAGCAATGATCTGGCCTCCGCTGTTAATGAAGATTAGTTTACAATTAGTAATGAGCAATAAACCCTTGAATAGACTTGCAGAATGAGCATAAAGATTTTATGTATTAAAAAATAAGAGTGAACTATTGTGTGCAAAAAATAAGGTTTGGTGCAAATAACACAACCAGTGTGTTCAAAGACCAAATCGTACTGCTTATTGGCAAGAAATGCCTTAAAAGTACCACAGATCTCCATGTCTATGGTAAAGCCAGTCTGATATCATTTTGCATATTTGAAAATGGAAATATTGCACGTGTTTCTCCTATTTTTTTGTACAACTCAAACGAAAGACTTTAATGTGTCATCTCCGATAAGTTATTTTAGTAAATGTGTTATTTACTTCAGCTGCCTTTTTAACTTCAGAAAAAGCAGAACTGAAAATCAGTTCCTTAATCTTGTCATGTGGGTGGGTTAAATCTGAGGGAAGAACACGAAGCGATAAGGGGAAAACCTGTAGAGCGTAGATAAGAAAATGAAGATGGCTGGAGCAGATCACTAGTATAAAGGAGAAACTTTAAAATGTACTCTGTTCAGTTGCTTGTTAATACAAACAACAAATCAGGCAATCACACTGAAGGTACTTTTCACATTTGGTTATCTAGATGGGGTTAGGACATTTGGTTTAGTTTAAAGTCAGAATCAGAATGGGGAACAAAGAGGATTTTCTTCCCACATAGGCTGGTCTTATTAGGTCGGAAACTACTGATCTACTCAAAGTTTTTACAAACAGTTATTGCTCCAAATGGGAAAAAAAAAGCTGACATCAGAAAAGAATAGGCAGACTAGTTGAGTATGATTGTATGGAAAGATTACCTCCATCCACTCCTTGTTCTAACCGAGGTTGGTGGACTGTCACCTGTGAACTCACGATACACTGAATCTTGAAGCAGCTCGGCTACAGCAGCAGGAGCAAAAGGTGCTAGCGGATCAATGCTGCTGCTGAAGAGCTGCCAGAGCTTTTCACAATATTTATCTAGATCACTGACGTTGCCTTGGAAACCATTTCCCTATTACAGAAAAATAGGTAGCTACTGAACCAAAATATGGGCTTTGACTGTTTCATCATGACTCAGGTCTTAGTGACCCCGTTTAAGTTGGTCACAATTACAGCTGGAAGTCCTTTGGTATGTCAGCTTTGCACATCTACAGTCTTACATTTTGCCCAATATTCTTTACAAAATCACTCAAGCTCAGTCAGATTGCACCACTGCAGCTAACAGTTGTTTGTCATGGGTCTTAATTGAATAAGCAGCTTCAAACTGTTTCTATTAGTAGATCTGTTGGATCTACAGAGGCAGACAGAGTGGGAACTGAACCAGCAACCAACTCCTACCAACATCACCACCACCGTCCCGTAATCCTGTTTGAATTAAAATATACAACACTTGCTCAGTTTTATTGCTACGCAGTCATGCAACTCTAATTCAGGAGTCAAAAGTACTTTGGTGAATTAGCCAAGCATGAAATGCATTAGTGATATTTAGGGGATGTGTGCTTCTCACTGTTGTCATGGCTAAAAATCAACAGTGAGACAGGAAAACCCAGCTTGGTTAGTATTTGAATGCTTTATATAAAAAAAGAAAAATCAGGCCTTAAGTTCATGCTAGAGCAGACTTGACCTTCAGGCATGAGCTGAGGAAGCGTAGCCATGACCTGAACTCATCATTGTTCCATTATAACATCACAGCCTGTGTAGGAGTCATGATGTTTTATATGAAAATGCCACAACAGAGACTCAAGATGATCCACACCAAATGTCCAAAATGTCTCGGTCTAAGTCTAAGCCAGTCGTCATCCAGAACCAGTTATTTTTTAAACACACTCTTTTCTGCAAGGTAACTTGTAATAAAGACAGCCTTGTAAATAATTATTTCAGTATTTATTTTTAGCTGGTATTCAGTCACACAGAAACTGTTCACAACAATCTGGGATCACAACTTTACCATGTCTCACAATTTACACATTCAAATGAAAATATTCAAATGAAAAAGGTTTTCATAGTGAGTCAACAGATGTGATTGGGTTTTATCTAGAGTGCTGTCTATTGTTTGCCTTTTTGCATTTTCTTTTTGTGTTATCTTCTAGCTGAAGCATGAACACAGCTGTGTCTCAGACAAATAAACGGGGGAAAAAAAATTGCAGCATTTTCTCTCATGGCAGCAGATTGGTTCCTTCCAAGTGTGAACTGAAAGCATTGTCTCACCAATTTATAAACAGCTTGAATGATGTGACCCTGTTTTTATTCAACTGGGGCTGAGATCAGGACAGCGCCTCTCTTATCAGGTAAGACTGAAAACCATACATGCTACTTAAATATGGGTTCAGATACTGTAAAGGCAATGTAAATTCTAATGGATATGGATTTTTTTTTCTAAGCATGGCTTAGAAATCACAAGATATTATGATATGGTACTGAATTTTAATTATCCTTCTAGTCGTAGTAATAAGATTTGTGCCTGAAGTTATTCAAGAGATAATTTCTTACCATGGCATGGTTGAATTGTGAAGGATAACCAAGTTGAGATGCAGTAATATGGACATTTTATTAATTTTACAACAACTTCAGAAATTCTTATTTTTTTATTTTTTTTTACTTTTTTTGATAACCAAGAAATTCTTTATTCACCTTTTGAAAAACAAGAAATACTTACAGAATTAAAATTTTACAGCGCATCATTACTTTGTCTTTTTGAACATTTTCTTTTGGGGGAATACAACAAGACAATTTTTCAAATTTAACACAATGAAAAGTTTAAAGGCTGTTTAGCTCGCCTATTCACCTGTATAACACTTGAGAACTAATTCACAGATTTTGTAAAGAATTTTCAATTTTTTTTCAAATATTTTCTTGCACTGTAAAAGTTCGACTTGCATTCAGTGATTATCCACTGCAAACTATGAGCCTAGTGATGTTAGTATAGCGGTGTCACTTCTATTCCTGGTAAGAATGAGAAATAATTAGAAAATAGTGAATATTTTGTTATGGTTTGGCTGTAAAACTGTGGTCTGTTATCTTTCTTTTGCAATTGAAAATACTGCAGACCAAAGGCTGAGATAAATGCAAGATGCTATTTCGGTTTCACTGTACATTATTCACGCCAAGGGCTATAGGGGTTTCCTGATATTCATTTAGTAATATGTAGGAGGGTTATCAAAACGGACATTGGCTCAAAAGATTTGTCAAGGGCAGATAAACCTGTTGAGGGTTGATTTTACTTACTTAAGAATTTGAAGACATCATGCTACACAGAACAACAATTTAGTGACTCTGCCTGTTTTTCTGTTTGCAAAAACAATTAATTTTTATATTTTGTAGGGTAATAGCTTGATTCAGCCCTACATCTTTGTGGATAACATCACCAAATTTGGTGTATGGTAACCAGTCAATTTTGTGTTCTTCTAGACTCAATTTAAATTATTAACCATAGCATCTGTTGTGTAATCGAGGCCTATTCAGTGTTAAAAAAAATGCACAAATTATTTTTTCTAATTGTTTTGCTTGCATAGATTTCAACGCTGAGGATCATTTTAGAACACCAACACGTGAACAAGATGGAAAAAGTTAGGAGGCTCATTTTCATTTTGCTTTTGGTTGGTAAGCTAACACACGTTCATTTCCCCTCTCTTGATACTCATCATTTATTTCATTCTTAACCTCCTCTGTTGTATCCATTTAAGGTATTTGCAGCCCTGCGCTTGGAGAAAAGTGGACGGCCTCTGTTGTAAAATCTCTTGAAGCCGTAGTCGGCTCCTGTGTTGTGCTGCCCTGTTCGTTCAACTATCCTGGCAAATTACTCCCTACCTCCAGACTGAGAGGCATCTGGCATCGTATTAAGAAAGACGAAGAGATTGTGTACAGCGAGGATAACACAAAGGTCTTAGATAGTTTTAAGGGTCGAACAAACATGTTAGGAAAACTGGGTGATAAGAACTGCACCTTGGAAATAACAGACGTTAAAGATCATGACAACGGTCCATTCTGCTTCCGAATCGAACTTGTTAAAACTCATGACAACAAAGAAACCACTGAAAAGTACTCCTTTGTTGATGAATGTGCTGAGTTAAAGATGCAGAGTATGTAATCTTCTTTATAAATCAATATTATAGTGCAACAGACCAATTTAGGCCTTAGCCAATAATTCATTTTTCTTTTTATAGGAGATCCTCCAGAACCTGAACTTTTTCAGTCAAACACAGCTGTTCAAGGAAAACCTTACGCCGTCACCTGTTCAGTCCGTCATACCTGCCCATCACATGTTCCTGTGTTCACATGGAGTCGAGGAAGTAAAGATGACGTTATCCATATTCAAAAGCCCGTTCTCTCTGGGATCTGGGAGACACAGTCCATCATGGTGTTTATTCCTGAGGAAAAGGATGACCACACTCAAATCACCTGCACAGCAGCATTTAATGGAGGAAAAGTAAAATCCAGATCTATTCAACTCAATGTAAAACGTGAGATCTAATTTTGTCTGTCTCTATCTTTGAATAGTTCAAAATACACACCGGATGTGGTTAATTAGCATTTTTCATCATCACATGACATGCGTCTGATTTAATTTCTATTTGCAGGTATTGGAAACATTTATCACATCATGATTCCAGTCGCAGTGGCCATTGGCACGGCTGTGATCTTCGGAGTCATCTGCACTGCTGTGATGAAAAAGTACAAGTAGGTTTACAGATATTGACTATTTAAATGGATCCGCTGAGTAAAAACCTGCAAATGATTCTTTTCTCAGTGCTGTTCTTGTTTAACCTCCTTTTGTTTTCTTAAGGAATCGGATTGCAGAGCTTCAGAGTCGTGAAGGAAGGTAAAATGATTTAAAATATTGTACCACAAAATAAAAACATATAATGTCATCACATTAAAAATAAATATTAATCAAATTGTCTGGGACATTTAGCATGTTCAACAGGCTGTCCAGGATGTCTCGCAGGTGAGGTTTGATTTATTTCAATGAGACTTTTCATTTGTTTCACCTAAATAAATATTTGACTTTTTCGGGGACTTTTTCAGGTTCCATTCCAGTGGCCAGTGACTTTGTGGTCATAATCCAGTGCAAGAAACTTGAGCAAATGATGACCAGCACGTAGATGTTCACATTTTAATTTTCATTTATATCCATGAGAATGATTTTTGCTTTAGGAGTCATGCCTTGTTTTCAATTATTACTACTATTGTACTTTAAATCAGCGAAAATTATTTGTTGTGATTTTTCTATCAAAATTGTACAAAAATGAACTTATTCCATTTTCATAAAGTTGTGTAGGCTATTATTTTTATTCCGGCAAACCTGGCCAGACCATTCAGTACTTTGTTATATTTTAGTGAATAAAATATAACTGCAATAAATAACGCAGTTCATATTCTGTTTTACCTGAATATTTTGTGTGCAAGTAGCCACTTCTAACATAAAATAAACACAACTGAACTCCAGTCGTTCAACTCCAAAAGCTCCAAGTATGACAGAGTGTGTCAGAAAACATAACCAGTGTCAACGTGAGAAATAAGGCGGCTTTGACGGTGTGCTCTGCCTCGTCTGCACTCTGATCATATTTCTGTCGTTGTAAATACAATATTCCACTTTCTTTTTGTTGTTGTGGTAGGTACCCAGTGCACAGCCATGTTCATTGTTAAAACTATATGCAAATATCATTTAGACATGATGATAATAATAATCTACCTGTTTGTAGTGATGTAGACATATGGTTTTCTAGGATTAGACGAAGCAAAACCACTATCAAAAGTTCAAAATGACCAAATATGCCTGTAAATAATGCAAAAATGCCAGAGTATAAAAAAAAAGCTCACAGAGAGCCCACTTGGTTAAGATTTGAACTGATTTAATATATTTTTGTTGAGAAAGTGATGTTGAGGAATGCTTAGCAACAGTTTTAAAATATTGTGCTTCCACCCATGACTCCAGAGTAAATATGTAAATATCTCATCACATTTGTCACTGTTCTCTCATTCATAAAGACTTCTTTATGTTCATGACAGGTATTATGTCATGTTTATGACAGTGTCATGTCAGTCTAATGGATACCCCCTCAAATACAGTGTTACCAAAATTTCTTTCAAGTCATCTTTGATATATAAAGCATTTTTATAACAACTTAAATTAACTACTTACTTAACTGTGCTATAAAATGGCACTATGTGCGTGAAAAATACATAATACTGCCCTCTTAACTGTAGAAAGTCTACGAATAGGTAATTCTAGTAGAATACAATATTTAAGAAAATATTTGTTAAAAATGAACAGCAAGTAGTTGTATCTACTATTTTGATTCATGCTTAAATATGCATAATATTTTTCTTTTTTGTAAAAAAAACCTACTTTTCGAGGCGTTTCAGAACAGCTGCATGATCTTTCACTGCAGCAGTTTTCTTGAAATTCATCTGTAGACCTTTACCGTTGGTAGCTGCCATGTGGCACAGATAAAGCGTGAAAGGCCTCAAAACGGCTCTGCCAGAAATTTACACAGGAAGCCTGTCAAGCATGTCCCTGAGAGCACAGCTGCATGTGTGAGGTCAAACACAGAAGGGTGTCATTACCCCTACTGTTGAGGGAATTATGAAGTTAGATTTTTCTTTATTGTAGGAGCTCAAAAGTTGTGAGGAGGTGTGGTGTGTTTTTAATCCTGTCTTTCAGAACTTAAAATAAAATGAGGTAATAATAAAGGTGGAATATCTGCTTTTTCTATAAACTGCTTTAAACTTCCACACCCACTTAAAGATCCGTGACAGCATTGGCCACCTCTTCTGGTCCTAAAGCACTTTTGTAATCCAGTGAATTTGCTGGAAACACTAACTTTAAAATAATAATTTTAAAAAAAGCAATCTCAGTATTGGTCATGAAGGGTTAAATTCAGATAAAAATTAAATGAATGAGACAAAATTAGTATTTTTTAGCATTAGTTCACTCCCATGAGAGCTCACTTCTCAGAGCCGTGCAGAGAGCTTTGGAGGGGCAGTTAAAAAGGGGCACATTCAGCAAGATCTTAAAACACAAAATAGCAAGAACCCACATTAATGAAGAATGTAAAGTTTTATCGAATCATATTGTATCATCCTCATCATGTGGGGAAAACATAAAAATGTAGTCTATGTTTTCCCCATATGTGTAAAGTTGCTGTTTCTACTGCTGACGGTGTGGACTGTGTTGATCTGAGACTGAAGTTGTTAAAACCTAAAACTTTAGCATTCATTCACTGAGAATGATAATGCTATTAAATTTTATTTGATGTGCTCAGCAGAGATTAAATAAAAGAAAAAAAACTGTACATTTAGGATATAATTAGGACGTTTGCTTTGTAAAAGTGCAAAGAATAATCTGGATAGTTTGATTTTTGTGTTACAATGGCTACAATATGGTGTAATATTTGTGTTTGAGCTGGGTTTGTTCATGAATACATGTTGGGAATAAATAATTCTGTGTTTTCCTTCTATCTTTGTTAGTTGTTAAGCCAAAGCTAAGCGAAACCTACAGGAAATGACATGGTAGGAAATGCAAATGAGAGCTTTGAGGAAATGACACACTAGGGAATGCCCTCTTTGGGGCGTAGCTTAGACAGAGGCCAACGAAAGAAGTTACCAACTGTTGCCACCATTTTGTCTGCTAGCTCTCAGAAATTTAGTTGAGAGCACAAAAACTCCTCAAGTGGAGGAGTTTAAGTATCTGGGGATCTTGTTCACGAATGAGGGAAGAAGGGAGCGGGAGAT